ATTTTTCCACCTAGAAGTTGGTGGTAAATAATTTGGGCCAAGGTTTTTCAAAAGTGATGAAGGATTTAAGATCATGCAAGATCTCATGGTTTAGCCAAGGTGGTCTTTTGCCACATTTTCTATCTTTCCTAACCAGCGGAATAGCTTGCTTTTGGGCCCTTAATAGTGTCCCTTTGAAAAACTGCCAACTCTCCTCAGTTGTTTTTCCCCTCAGTCTTGATTCCCATGGGACCTTACCAAAATCTCTCTGAGTTTACCAAAATCTGCCTTCCTGAAATCCATGTCTCTATTTTGCTGTTCTCCCTTCTACCCTTCCTTAGAATTGCAAACTCTATGATTTCATGATCACTTTCACCCAGGCTGCCTTCTACTTTCAAATTCTCAACGAGTTCCTCCCTATTTGTTAAAATCAAGTCTAGAACAGCTTCCCCCCTAGTAGCTTTTTCAACCTTCTGAAATAAAAAGTTGTCTCCAATGCAGTCCAAGAATTTGTTGGATAGTCTGTGCCCCGCTGTGTTATTTTCCCAACATATATCTGGATAGTTGAAGTCCCCCATCACCACCAAATCTTGGGCTTTGGATGATTTTGTTAGTTGCTTGAAAAAAGCCTCATCCACCTCTTCCACCTGGTTAGGTGGCCTGTAGTAGACTCCTAGCATGACATCTCCCTTGTTTTTTGCCCCTTTTAGCCTAACCCAGAGACTCTCAACACTTCCGTCTCCTATGTCCATCTCTACCTCAGTCCAAGTGTGTACATTTTTAATATATAAGGCAACACCCCCTCCCTTTTTCCCATCTATCCTTCCTGAGCAAGCTGTACCCCTCCACACCATTCCAATCATGTGTATAATCCCACCAAGTTTCAGTGATGCCAACAGTGTCATAGTTGTATTTATTTATTAGCACTTCCAGTTCTTCCTGCTTATTCCCCATACTTCTCGCATTTGTATATAGGCATCTAAGATACTGGTTTGATCTTTCCTCCCAGTTTTGTCCTGACCCTCCTTTCTCTCTGCCAATATAGCCCACACTCCCTCTCGTTTCCGACCCGTCTCCATGTTCCCCACTTACCTGTGGGCTTTGCTCACCTGTCCCCATCGAACCTAGTTTAAAGCCCTCCTGGGCTTTATAGGGAGGCCCCCTGTGCTGGGTAGGTCCCAGAAAAGGGAGGGGTTCAGGTAGGGTGACCAGATGTCCCAATTTTATAGGGACAGTCCTGATTTTTGGGTCTTTTTCTTATATAGGCTTCTATTACCCCCCACCTCCGTCCTGATTTTTCACACTTGCTGCCTGGTCACCCTAGGTTCTGGGCAAAAGGCCAATGGATGGGGTCAGTCTGCCACTGGCATGTTCCGGCAGTGCTAGGATGCTGGCGGCGGTCAAGCAAGGAAAAGAAATACAACACACGCTTCCCGCCAACCCCTGGGGCTGGCTAGGCTCCCCGGCAACACCCAGGGCTGGGCTGGCCCCCTGAACTGCTAACTCCATCCCCCCAGGCTCCCCTACCCCACCCCCCAGGCCAGCCTAGCGCCCCCCAACATAACACACACACTCAAGTGCGGGGCCCCCTAAAGCTCAGGGCCCAGAGTGATCATCCCAATTCACCATACCCAAGGGATGGCGCTGGCTCTAGGTTTGCACATTTCAGTGCCTCCAAGTCAGTCAATGAAGCTTGGACTGCTTATCCCTACCACACTTTGCAGTGAGCAAAGCTCTACTGCAGCTTTTATTTATAGCCAGTGAATATGAGGCAGGAAGTGGAACTTGCACATATCACCTTATTGTTCAGAAAAGACGTAGTGCAGTCCAGACTGGAGCTAAAAGACACCTCGGCTGTTTTCAGAGGGTCCAGTTCAGGTGCCAAAGCCCACCCTTTAGTCACCCAGCAACTGCAACTATTATATTGTAGTAAGAGGCTCTGGTTTGCCAAGCTTTGATAAGCCTTTAAAACAATGTTCTTACCCTCTCCTATGAGAGTTTGGTATAATATCCTTGTGATGTTAAATAGATATTCAGACAGTATCACCCTTTCAAGCTGTATAGAATCATAAAAGGATACATACTGCTCCTGATTCAAAGTTAAGCATCCAAATGTGAAAGAGTTGTTTCTAAAGTTAGGTGTGACTATCTTTTTAAAGGTGCTGTATAGTCATAACTCCCACTGAAGTTGATGCAGGTATTCAGCACTGGTGAAAGTCAGGCCATTTTTATTTTGGTGCCTACATGTAACTCCAGATACAGGATATTTGGCCTGGGCATTCAGTGATGTTACAAATACAGTCAACTAGCTTACTTTAGAAGCATGACCTACTTTGTAATTATATCATAAGGAAAATAGATAAATGTCTATCAGGGATGGTCTAGACAGTATTTGGTCCTGCCATGCGGGCAGGGGACTGGACTCGATGACCTCTCGAGGTCCCTTCCAGTCCTATAATCTATGATTCTATGAATGTCCTCTAAAACAAAAATGTATATAGAGTTAAGTACATCATGGTAACCCTTAAATGTACATATGGTATACAACAGCATTCTTGAGCTGCTCTAATGCCAACCATCAGAGAACATAAATTGGTTAGAAATACTGCTACCAGAGCTCTACCTAAAAGGTTTTATGCTTCAAGGGGTTGAGTGCACTCAGCACCCACTAATTAAATGGGAGTTCAGAGCACTCAACCCCTCTTAGGACTGAGCCATAATAAAAACTTTGCTGTGGATGAGAAAGCAAAAAACCATGATGGCTTGTGTTCCAAATAAAACCAATACAAAATCTATGTTTACCCCATGTAAAAGGTTAACAGTCAAGGGAAATAATTTGATTTCAAGCTTAAGTGTATGGAGGCTAAACATTTACTAGCTACTTTATAGGATAGTACTTGACCATCTCTTAAAAAAAGGTGTACAAAAATAATTGTAAAAATTTAAAACATTTTAAATGCACACATTGCTAGTTCTGTACTTTCTTCCCATTGTATAAACAAACTGCTAAAGTGGATGTTTTATATATTTTTCTTTAGTTTCCTAAATGTTAGAAGAAATTTTGGACTTTTCTATGAAGAAGTTTGACACTTAAAATGCTCACATATGCTGAAAAAGACTAATAATCCAGGGTCTTAACATTCTTACTAGGATATGAATACAAACTCACATAACCGATAAGCAAATAGTTCTGGCTACATTTGCCACCAACACCCACATTCTGGTAGATTGAACTTACACAAGTTAAGAAAGCTACAATACTATGACCAGACTATACACTTGCATCAGGGTTTGCAGTCAATGTGATTTGTGCTCTTAAGTACGTTTGAAAATCCCACACATAGAAACCTAATTTTAGGCTCCTATTTTTGGAAAACGTGGCTGATAGATATAAAAAGTTCACTATAACTTTTTTAAAGTACTGAAAAGCTGAATAATGTTTTTCATTGTTGATACTGAAGCAATTTGATTTTGAAGTGATAAAGATTTCATTCCACTAAAAATTTAATAAATATACCATAGTAGTTCCTGATGCTAATGTACATGCTTAATTTAACGCATGTGTAGTCCCACTGAAGTAAATGGGACTATTTATGTGAGTAAAGTCACATACCTGCTCATGAATTTGCAGGATCAAGGCATTCATTTTCAATTTTTCATGTTTTGCCTACAGCAGTTTCATAAGATTCAAGTAAGATTTCCTACTAGTAGTAGCATTTATAATTTAGTTCATTATACATTTTACTCTAAAATTGCAATAGGACAAATTTTCAAATTAGTTTTTCAAAGCATTAAACCTGATTTAAATTACTTCATTCTGTCTTGAAGCCTTACATTTATTTTCAATAATGATGCAATTGTCTTCAAAACCGTCAATTTCACCTAGCTGCAGCATGGATGATTGAACAAGAACCCTTTCAATGCGTTTTAATCTAGTAGTGATAGGAAGTCAGTTTCGTAAAATAAAAATTGGATGTTTCCAAGAACTTGCTTGAAGAAGTCAATTTGACTGAAGACTCGCAAAAATATTAGTATCTTTCCTAATTCCTGTTTTTCTTTATGATCTGCAAATTTATGATTATTTAGGAAATGTGCTAAAATTCTTGAGTAGCAGAAAACTATGTTTTGCACTTCAGTACTGCACTTAAGATAGTTACTAACTATCATGCATGCAAGGGGTTGTTGAGAGGGGTTGGTCTGTTCTACAGCAGAACATTTTGGAATACCTTAAAGACAACAGCAGACCAGGCAACGGAAACAGAGTGAGAGGACGCGAGAGTGCGCACTTGTATAAAGCTGAAGTCCAAGGATTCTTTTAGTTTTTGTGTATGTTTTGTTAATTTATCAGGTTTCTTTTCTGGTTTTGTTACTGAAGTAGTTGCAGGTGCAAGTAAAAGAGCTCAATCTGTTTGTGTCAATATTCCATGGTCCTGTGGTCCAAAAATACAAAGACAAACTTTTTAGAGTATCTTTACTGAGATTCTGGCAGTAGTTTTATATAACAAGACACATCCGCATAACAGGTCTGCCACTGAACTTGCTTAGAGTAAAATCAGCTTCAATATGAAGCTGTTAGATATCAAAACCCTGCTTTTTACATGCTAAATATTTTCAGCAAGTGTGCATTTTATCACAGCAAATGAATTTACTATAAGAATAAAGTAAATACATACATGAAACTCCACACCTGGAACATAATTCATAAAAAAAATAAATCACTAGTTACAACTGAAAACCTGTACGTTATTTAAAAATGGTACAAAACATACAAAATAATTCTAAATATCTCAATGGCAATGCAAAGGAAAAAAGCTACCAGTGTTTGCCAAAAATGTTCATTTAAACTCAAAATTACTTTAAATGATATAATGCATATTAATAGCACAGTATTCAGCATCATTTCAGTTAGTGGAGGTAAAGTCTTTAATTTTTGGATGTCAAGTTATGCTGCAGTGTGTCACCGCTCTTACTTAATGAAAAAGTACATGCTAGAGGCCCAGAATTGTTTATTCAGGAAAACCTGCTGATACCAGTTCTGATCTCCCTAGGAAATATAGCTGTTGTACTGTTAAAAATAGTTAGATTTTGCAAGGATCAAAGGCACCCTAATTCAGCTAGCAAAATGGTAACACTCCCAAAAGAAAATAAAGGGCAAAATCATAAATACTTCTACAAAAGTAACCTTTAAAACTGTTACTATTCTATTCCCATTTCACAAATGGCATTAGTAGTCAGCAAGTATCAATAGTCTTGTGTTATATTCCTCTTCAAGATGAATTTTTGATTTTATTTCTGCAGATTTAAAAATTGAACTATATTACTAACTTGTTAAAACACTATTTTTAGTATCTAAAAGGTTGCACTCTATTTCCTAATATTTTACATATTAGCTGGACCACCCTCTCTTATGATTTTAAACTAACACTGGCTACTGTAATTAAAAAAAAAAATGTACCCCAGGTATTAAGCAGCAGGCAACAACAATGGACTTTTCGGGCACATTAGCACCTGGCTGGCTATTGAAAGTCTAGTAATATTTCTAAAACACTGGAAAACTCATGCAGTGTGGTAAAGTTTGCGATAATTTTCACAGTTGAAGTTTCCTTTAGTCATTGCACTTTTGTTGAAGGGACAGGCTTGATTTTTAAGTGTTATTCTGAATCTGAACTTGAACCAGCCGTCTTCTTTTTCTTCTTTTTACCATGTTTCTTGTGCTTCTTTCTCTTTTTTGTTTTATCCTTTAAAACAGTTAAATAATGTAAGTTATTTCATAAGCCAAAACCCATCTATTAAAATTCAGCTAAAGAAGTGGTGTAAGAACTTTGAAAGGGTGTTTTGTCCAAAATTATTTCAGATAAAAGATTACTAGATAAATAAATAGTATAAAACAAACAAACAAACAAAAAGAATACTAACTTTAAAAAAATCATTCATAGTTCCATTTTGGTCTGGTAAGAGGTCTGAAATAGTCATTGTCTCTATTTTGTTTCCTAATCTTTTAAGTCACTTGAACACTTTATGAATTTTTGAGAAATCAGTTAGATAATGGGGGTTTGTAATGCCCCATATGATATACGCTGGTAATGTTCCATTTTATTAATGTGAACATAAGTAAACATATTTGACATTTACTGCATCTAGAAAATAACTGTATTTAGATAACATACAGATATCTCTAGGAATTATTTGGGGGAAGTTCTGTGACCTGTGTTATATAGGAGGTCAGACTAGATGATCACAATGGTTCCTTCTGACCTTGGAATCTATAAATACAGGGCCAAATTCTGTTCTCAGGTACACTGATGTAAAGGCCAAGGAGCTTCCAGAAGTAAATTGAGTTATTCTTGATTTACAACTGTGTACCTGAGAGTAGAATTTCCCATAAAATGTTCAACTTCGTAAAGAATGTTGTCGAGACTACAAAAGTACAAACGAATTTTTCACATAGCTAATACACTTTCTAAATATATGAGAATAGGAATGATACTTGCTGTTACTTTCTCTCTTTCTTCACTGTTTTTTTTCTTTTTCACTTGTACCTAAAAAAAATTATTAATAAGCTTTTGTGGCAGAACAATATTTCCAAACATACCTGTAAGTAAAAATTTTTAGCTTTGGCTATAAAACATGATGGCACAATATGGTACAGCATACAATGAAGAAATACACTGGGATATCTGTGCTATTTTCTGCAAATAATTCTATCCAGTATCATCTGGTTTTGGAAATAAAAAATGCTGAGTGCTTTCAAGGAAACAACGTCTGTCTACTTATACAACATATAGCATAGCAGGGAATTATTATGTAGATGCCAGTAAAATTATTAAAACTAGCTATGTGAAAAAATCCATAACTACTCCAATTTTCCCTAGCCTTCACATAGTCTGGAATTCTATATGGAAAACAGGGTGGATAAAAATGGATAATTTAAATAAAATCAATTTTTAACATTTAAATTAAATACAGGTTTATTTTAAAAAAAATAAAGTTATTTAAACTTGAAATTGAAATTTACTTCTGAAATTATGACAATCTATTTTGGACGTAACTTACTATAATATATCAAAATTATTTAAATAAAAAATAATAATATTAAGCAGTACATGTTTGCTGCTGAAGTTTTAAAGAAAGACATACCACTGAACTGGAGGAAGTCACTGTCTGAGTATCTGGAATCATAGTTTGCTGAAATGCTAACTCAGCTTTTGACAGTGGAAGCCTCTTCTGTAAGTGAAAAAGAATATTTTCTTCCTTTCAGTTTATTCCACTGGTTCAGTTCAAAGAACAGTTGATTCAAAGTTAAGAAACCAACTGGGAGTTGAAAAAGCATGAAAACTTGCTTTCCTCTTCCAAGCTATGAATAAAAGCTCGGAGTGAGAGGATGAGATCTACTAGTTCTACAATCCTAAAAGACACAGTGTCCAGAAACAAATCAGTTTAATTCACTAACTACAGATATTTCCTTTGTTTAATACATCAGTTTTAAATACGAAACATGTTTTGATAAAAAGAATCCATATCAACCATCTAGTAAATACCTCATTCATCATCATTTTTGCTAACATAATAAAAAAGTAAAAATTAAGATCTCAATAAATGTAAGGTAAGCTAGATAACTGCTTGAATAAATGTGTATCGATACAGTGTATCCTACTAAGAGGTACAAAACTTAGTATAAAGTCTAAATTAGGTGTAAATAAACATGTTGTAATGGTTAGCAACCAATGAAAATCAACCTTTAATAAAAAGTACAAAAGCAAAACAGAGCTAAAACTATTTAAATCAAGGTTTCCTGCTTACTGATTTAAATCATGATTAAAATCGGTGATTACAAGTACTTGATGTAAATCAATCCACAATGATGAAAGGATTTCAATATTAGAACAGGGACTAAACTCAGATTAACCCTCTTGATTTAAAAAAAAAAAACACTGCAATTGTAATCAATGTCCAGTGATAACTAACATTAATAGAAATGAGTTGGAAATCCCCTGCCTTTGTACACACAGTAATGAAATGACAGTCCCATAAACTGTCAATATGTCAAGCATTCAAAGTGATGTTAGTGAATATTATGGTATTCAGAATTGTAACTATAACAAAATAGTTCAAAATAATCATTAAGTGGTAGAGCGTTCTAACTTTAATGAATTGCAAGAGTCCTTATTAAATAGGCTAGTGCTTATACAACTTTGAGATAGGTCACATTGCTGAAATCCAATTAATCTGAATAAATTAAATTGAACAGCTTCAAGACAATACATAATTTGCCACTTAGTCTATGGATGAGTGAAGCACAGTCAAATTAGCTTACTCACTTATGCACATTTAACTTATCAAATATATTTTTTTAAAATTTGAAATCTAGGTTGTATTTCACACTGACCTCCTCTGTAGGATCTGAGTCTGATAAGGACTCAGATGATAAAGGTCCATTCCCACGATCAATTTTCTTCCTTTTCCTACTAAGACTTTTGTTGTCCTACACAAAATAAAACACATAAGTACAGCCTTTAAAATAATAGAACACTTAGACTGTGACAAAAACACTGACTTTAATGTTTCATTTAAATTATGGAATCATAAACATGTAGGATTAGAAGGGACTTCAAGAGGTTATTTAGTCCACAACCCTTCGTGTGAAGGCAGGACTAAGTATATCTAGAATACAAATATAAAATAGTCTCAATTTTATTAAAAAGAAAATTTTGAACTACTGAAGTAATTATGCATCAGCACCAAGAAACTGAATGCAGCAATCAATGCCATTGTCTAATAATTTTCAAGAGACTCTTAGCAAAAATGAATTTTTTGATACTGCTTAGCTTCATTACATAACTACTACACTTTTTTTAAGATAGGGAAAATATTGCAATACATTTTAAAATATTTAAAATAGAAATTGTATAGCATAAACAAACATTTAAAATAAAATATGTTGCACAAATTCAAATGAAATTGAGAGGCAGACTACTTAGTAAATTTGAATATATTTATTGCAGCTCTTCTTGCTCTGCTACTGAGCTAAGAGTACAGCTCCCCCTACAGATCCAACTGGGAACAGCAGTAGCTGTTTAATACCAGCTTGTAGCTGCAATATTAAGTTTTTAAAACTTACTTAAAAAAAAAAGAAAAGAAAAAAGAAAGCTTAGATCCTTCAGAAGTTGATAACATTGGTCATACTTGTCCAGGCCAGCTTCATACTTGCACTGGGCCAGGCAAATGGGATTTTGCAAAGCTGATATGGAACCTCCTCTTTCCACCCAGCTCTTCAAGGCTAGGAAGGGAAAAGGAAGATCATGTGCTCTCTATCCTCCATGATGGGATCAGAGACTCAGTAGTCTTGGTTACCTCCATCTAATCAAATGAGGGGACAGAGTAGAACCCTCAGCCCTTTCTACAGGCACTGAGGAAGTGGTATTGCAAGTGAAGCAGCCAGGATGACAGGTATTGAAATAAGGGAAAATTGGAGAGAAATGTGGCAACAATCACTGTATGTGTAAACCTAAGCAGGGAGAAGAGGCGGAGGTAAGAACTGCTGCTTTGAAGATCAGCTACTGAGAGGTAACAGATTTAGTAGGGCAAGGAAAAAGTATTTCTGAATTTGGAATAGGGGGAGGACATAGAAGAGAATTGGTGCATTTGGTGTGCATGAAACAGAATTGATGAGTCAGACTGAATAGAGTTACCTGAGCAGAAAGGTAACAGAGGTGACTGAACAGGGGAGGTGAATGCGACACAGAGACCTGTTTGCAAAGGATCTCCGGTTCTTTGCAAACAGCTCTCACCTTGGACCTGACAAATCCACTACACCAAAAACATCTTACAGGATATTTATCCATAAAGAGTAACATGGAAGGTACCTACAGAAAGCTCACAATTTGTCAAGACTCAATCACTGTGAGATGTATGTATAGATAGTATTTAAGGAATAATGTAGTTATATTGAAAGTACGCTCTATAGATTTGGTGTAGAACTTAGTCACTGGGGGCAACGTTTCTCGATGACCCACTCAAGTACGAGGGAGTTATCACCTCTCCCTAGTCAGCCAACTACGTAATGCAAGGTGCTATTATCTACCATTGCCATAATCAATGGAAAACCATCAGGGACAATGACAAACAATCAAAACCACCTAAAGGCAGACAAGAAACTACAACAAGGCAGGGGTTCACCCTTTCTGTGAACAGAAACAAAAGTCTGTTTTCAATATAACAGAGTGTAGGGAAAGGCACTCTGTAAACTCCTGGCACAGAGAGATGCTTTCATGTATGGTTGGATCCTGGTTCTTGAGAAACCAGCCAGCTCTGCAATGGACTGAACTTTGGGGGGAAATCTACTTTATTAGATAGGAAGGGTAACTACTGGTAAGTGTAGACCCAGGTTTGCTTTTTATGATTTTGTTTTGTATTGTATTGTAAGTACTTGTTTCCATCTCTCTCATTTCTCATTAAATCTTTATTATTTCTTAAATAAACCTTCTTTTGTTTTATTTTATGTTCTCACAAGTGCTGTGTGGTTTACAGGAGCAGTAGTTTATGCTAACAATGGTAAACTGGGGTACGCCTCATCTTTGGGTGCAGGGGATCCAGAAATTCTGTGAGTAGCTAGTGTTAGGGCTGGATATCAAGGGAACGATTCAAAGGGATTCGGGGATCGAAGTGCACCTGTGGTAACCTGCTGATGAAAGAAGGAAAGGTATAAGCCCAGAGGGGAGTGCTGAGTGACTGGCAGTGTTAGGGAGCTGATGCCCCACTACCTTAAGAAAGACTTCTCCTTGCTGGAGGCAGAGGCTAATAAGATGACTCTCAGTCCTCGGTATAAATTAAAAAAAACAAAACAAAAACAGAAGACCACCTGAAAGCCACTTAGACATTTGTTCTTGAATTAACCCTATCTGCTTGAACAAGTTTGCAAATTTGCCACATAACTACTAATTGTTGTACTCAGCAGCTATTGGGACCAGATTTTCATAAGAGCTCAGCAACCAGCAGTTGGCAACAATTATTTAAATAGAAGCTGAGGACCTTTGAAAATCTGGCCTCAAATGTGCAAGCATAAGTTCACAACTGCCATACACGCAAGCCTTGTGCCGCTATTTAAAAATGTGGTCCTTTGTCTGTATTTGTATAAAATACAGTTTTGAGACAGATTTTTATTTTGCAAGTACTTAATATTTTACCTTTTCTCTTTCATGTTCTTCCTTTGATTTTTTCTTTTTTGTGCAGTCCTAAATAGAAGGTGAAAATAATTAATTTTTACATAATGGTTTCAGCACACAATGGTATGAATCACAACAGAATCTTGACCAGATATTCACTGTATAAAAGGACCTACTTTTCAAAGCTGTTATGGTTGTTCTGGGTTACAGAGCTAACAAATTGCTCTGAGATATTTTACCTTGCAATTCACGTGAACATTATGAAAAAACTACCATTTAGGTACAACTGCCTCTGTCCTTGCCCTGCAGTATGCAGAGACACAGCTCTTACTCTGGTAGGCCTGTGGGGAATCAAGGAATAGAATGTTGCTCAGCAGAACACGCAGACAACCTATACAGAGGTCAGCCACCATCACTCTATTCCTAAAAATCTTTTAAAAAACCACGCTATCATGGGAGAGTCCACATGCCCTGGGTGAGAAAAGAGCCCTTTGGGAGATCCTAGGGAACAGGATGAAGCCTAAGATGAAGCATACTCCCTATAGAACAGTTCATGTTCTGCTTTCCCCTGTTGAGATCCCCATGTACGGAGTGCCTCTCTGCTGTTCCTTCCCGTCTGGTGATAATACAAGACAAGTAATTTCTATTGAAAGCATAGCAAAGAGGAATATGAGCCAGTAGAAAAGGCAGAATGCAAGCAGGGCTAACAGAATGAAGAAAGTATCAGAGATGTAGAATAACTAGGAAGGAAGAAATGGTAAGGTTGTGAGTCTCTCCACCCACCTCACCTCAGCTGACGGCAGAGAGAAAGAATGGAGACTTTTGTCCTCCAATTCAGCAGCAGGTGGTGTCTAAATGTCGTGTCCCCCCCCCCATATGTGTGAGGGATGAATTTTCAAACTTACATTAACAAAAGCTTGTGTGTGTGTATATATGCATATGAGGAATGATTTAATTATTTGATATCTATGGATGAAAAACACTATATAAAGAGCTAGTTATTATTTGTATAGCACATACACTAAGCTAGGTACTTTACAGATAAATGAAGACAGGACTGAGCCCCAAAGAGCTTTCATAAATGGCTTCTTAGATTACTAGTTTTTAAGCCAAAAATATAAATTACTACCTGCTACAGTGTAAACAATTGTTGACAGATGACAGGCTCCTTACAATTTGTTTATTTTCTAGTTTACACAGGATGAAGTCCAAAATTCATACCAGAAAGTTTAATTAATTGGGTAGGCACTGCTCCAAATAGAGCAAAGAGAAGGGAAACCTCCCCATAACTGCATTTATGAAAGGCTCAATTTGTGCTGCAGAGTGTACAATTTCTGAAGGGAAAGTACTTTTCCCACAGACATCTGGTAAGGCAGTATTTTGAGCACTGATATCCTGTCAGACCTTCATTTAAAAAAATAACAACAAAAAACTACATGTGAAAACACCACATTGACAAAGAATTAAGACATTTATAGGTTTTAAATGTTAGCTTATTTTACACTAAAACAGAGCTTGTTTGGGCAGGAAATAAGGCAAAAATGTATATTTATAATTCAAAAGTTAGTGATAATAGTTTGGAATCATTGACAAGTCTGCTCTCTAAAGATCAAACTATTCCTTTTAGCCAGTGTACTGAGCTCAAATAGGGATAATACTTCTTGGAGTATGGAAGCAGAAGGCTGGAAGCATTGCTTGCTCCCATAAAGTAGCATTGTATGTTTGAAAGAGAAATAAAGAAGTGTATATGCAAAAACAAAATCAGATAATGTTTACAATATAAATAAAGGAAAACTTCCCAACACTAATACATCATTACATTTTACCTTGCTATCTGATTCAGAATCAGAAGTAGAGCTTTCAGAAGATTTCCGCAAGGAGCGATACCTCTTCTTTCTCCGTTTTTTCCCTTGTTTCTTATCCTATCCGTAAACATTTTAGAGAAAAAGTTTGTATTTGTTCACAGTGAAGCTATAACTGAATATTCAATCTGAAGAACACAGAAACCCAAGGTCCTATATGTAAGTATGCTCTCTTGATGAATACAGCACTACAGAGATGATTGGCTCTTAGAGTGGACGATATTCATAATTTTTCTGCATTTATTCAAAATTTATATTAGTGATAAATCCAAATTTTTCTAGTTTCCTTGTTTATTACTTTTTTCCACAGTATTTTAGAGGGCCTGACTCTTCATCTTCAAAGTGATCTAGCCTAAAATGCAATGAAGAGATTTTTCTTTCCAAAGTAATAATCGTGTGCCTGGGTTTTACTTTTAATTTAGAGGGGAAAATATCTTTCTTTAAAGAAATGCCAATACACAATTCTATGTAAAAATCAAAGTGAATCCAGTTTATAAACCTGCCACCCAAAACTTGAATTCTTTGTTCATTCTTGAACAAAAAAACTTCAGAAACAGACTTCAAAGAGAAACAGCAGAACTAAAATTCATTTGCAAATTTAATACCATTAATTTGGGCTTGAATAGGGACTGGGAGTGGCTGGCTCATTACAAAAGCAGCTTTGTCGCTCCTGGAATTGACACTTCCTCATCTATTATTGGGAATGGACTACATCCATCCTGATCGAATTGGCCCTGTCAACACTGGTTCTCCACTTGTGAGGTACTCCCTTTTCTTCATGTGTCATTATATAATGCCTGCATCTGTAACTTTTACTCCATGCATCTGAAGAAGTGAGGTGTTTTTTACCCACGAAAGCTTATGCCCAAATAAATCTGTTAGTCTTTAAGGTGCCACTGGATTCCTTGTTGTTTTTGTGGATACAGACTAACATGGCTACCCCCTGATACTTGTTTCATTAGTGTTCTTTTAATATGTTGTTATAAAATCTATTTTGGTGCACAGAAAAATCTATTTTGGTGCACGGAAAAATTATTAATTGAACAGATATATTAATGTCATGTTCATTTCTATACTTCTTTGTGCACTAGAAGTTTCTTTCCTCACTGTAAAGAAAGAGGCAAGTCTTCTATCTCCCTGTGAGAGCTCTGCAGATTTGCCTTTCTTGTTCCCAACTGTATACTTCCTTTCTTCAAAGCATCACTTGAAAGCCACCTGGGGGCTTGCTTTATAACCAACCGTTTCACAATAAATCAAAGGGATTATTACTACCACTCCTTCCAGCAGGTTTGATATCTCTGTAGCACTCCTAAGGCCTTGGCTACACTGGCGCTGTACAGCGCTGCAACTTGCTGCGCTCAGGGGTGTGAAAACGCCCCCCCTCTCCCCCCCGAGCGCAGCGAGTAGAGCGCTGTAAAGCTCCAGTGTAATCAGAGCCTGCAGCGCTGCACACTTGCTTGCAGCGCTGCAAGCTATTCCCCTCGGAGAGGTGGAGTACCTACAGTGCTGCAAGAGAGCTCTCGCAGAGCGGCTACACTCGCGCTTCACAGCGCTGCCGCAGCAGCGCTGGGAAGTCCCAAGTGTAGTCAAGGCCTTAGTCTCTGCTAGCCTTCTGAGTGAAGTGCCAATGCTAAGGGACCCAATCATGGGCTCAGAGCTCTCAACTCCTTTTGAATTCAATGAAAGCTGAGGGCCTGCAACAAATTGTTGGACCAAATGTTAGTCTGTTACACAATAGCAGAGAGCACAATTGTGAGGCCAGAAGTTAATTATTTTAACAAGTTTGTTTGAACATTGCGTATTCACTATATTATCATGTATTAATTTGGTTATAGGAAATATCAGGTCTTTAACTGTAGTTTTTAAAAGGCGAAAGAGTTATAGTTTCAGATCTCACAGATAAACCAATAACCCTTCAGGTATAATTAACAGGGTACTAACAGACAAATTATCTAACAGGGTACTGTTCCTGAGATGTATGGCCCCAGGCCTGCAACGACTTACTCGTGCTTAAAGGTATGCACTGAACAGCTCCACTGAAGTAAATGGGATTGTTCATAGTGTGTAAACAGATGCATAAGTAGTTGCTAAATTGGGGCCTCTGTTAAAATGCTGACTAATCTACAATCACTATTTCCATGTTAAAACAAGAACCATACATTTCTTCTTGAATGCACCACCCTAATAATAACCTGAATAAGAGAGTAAGTGGCACCAGCAAATAATAGAATTATACACTAGCATATTTTAAAAGAAAATACAAAAATTACAATTCTGGTATGTTAGTTCTCACCTCATCATCAGAATCAGATGAACTGCTGGAAGAATCAGAGCTTGATGAAGAAGAGGAAGATGAAGACAACTTGACCAAACACAACAAAAATGAAAGCTTGTGAGATGCAGCATTTTGTCTGTTTGAGAAATAGTTAAAGGAACATCCAAATACTCTCTGCATTTGCAAATGTTATCTTAGTGATCTTAGTTCCAAGAGTCTAGCCTGCGGAGATTTTCTTAAATTAAGCTGTATGAGTGATATTTCCTCAAACAAACAAATGTATGGCATTCTAGCCAAATTCTCTATTTTTAAAGTAAGACCTTCTTATTTTTAAACCTTTTCCCTCAAATACAAACTAAACTACCACTCTCAGATAACAGGTAACACAAGCATAGTTATTTAAACATCTATGTAAAATTCCAAATTACACTCTTATTTTGTCTTTTCAGGAACTCCAGACACGTAAAACTTAAAAACCTGAAAACTTGCTCACCCTATTTGATTTCTTCTTTTCCTTCTTCTTTTTCTAAAAAGAAAGAGACAATTTTGTTACATTGTATCATGGTCTCTCAACATGTCACAGACAAGGAAAGTAGTTCTGAATTTGCATTTTGACTTGTGTTCTTTGGTGATGGCTGTTTCAGTGTAAGAATGTCACATCAGGAAAATCCAACTCATGAATACTTTACCAGACTTAAGATATTTACCTCTTTCTTTTTGGAGGAACTCTCATTTCCACCTAATAATTTCTCCCTGTGTTTTTCTAGTTCTTTCTTCCAATTCTGAAAAACAGTGATAGTGACCATTGGCATAATTTTCAAACCCTTGGTGTTAACAAGAACCTTTGAAATATTCCGTCTGTGACAGAGCCAACAAGTATTATTTTTGCAGGTTTTAAAAACATAATTCAACTAATCCTAAACCTAGGACATTACATATTTCGTTTTATATAAGCAGATTAATATTCATTTGAGCAAAACTTCCTAATTTTCTCCTGGATCCGCCAGTTATTTAAACAAATATATATATATATATATACACACACACAAACACCTTAATTGACTATCTGTATTAGGATATTAAACTTACAGCTGTACATACATATTTCACTATAGCAATGTGAGTAATCTGCTTTTACAAAATGAAGTACCACCAAATATGAGTGTCTTTTTATTCAAAGATGATGGGTAAGGATCTGGACAGCCTCTGATGCAAAGATTTCACATTGAGTATAGAGGTTCACACAGTATTGCTTCTGTAAATTGAATGCACTGCACCCAGCAGGGGCTCCTTGCATTCTTTCTCCAAGCACCTATACCACCAAGCTTCCTGTGTGCCACCCTTATGGAATGTTCTAGGTCTCAATGGCCAGAACCCTATAAATTAGGGAGGGAATCAGAAAACCAAAAGGGGAAAATGGGGGACACCTGGAGCCCCTGCCAGCTGGTTAGCACAGCCACAGCTTCACACACCTCTGGACTGTCTCTCATTCAGGCAACTGGTTGATAGCACCCATCACCTTCCAATAGAACAATATCCCCCTGCTCATCCTCCCAATAGACTTTAATGTGTCAAAACCCTGAATGATGCATCTCCGAGACAAATGGGTGAGTTAGAATGGAGATGTGCACAGAGCCCCTGGTGTGGGTGGGAGGATAGGAGACCCTGGTATGGTGGGAAGGTGGAATGCGGGACACAGAACTCAGGAGGCGGGGGGAAGGGGAAGAGTGCAGAACCCAATATGGGGGAATAGGGGTTAAGCAGAGCTTCTGACGTGGGAAAGAATGGGACCCTAGTAGGGTGGGAAGGTGGAAGAGTGAGCACACAGAATCCAGGATGGATAGGGGAGATTGGGGAATCTCGTGTGGCTGAATGCGGGGGTAAACAGAATGTTGGCAAGGGGGGGCAGAATGGGGGATCTGATATGAGAAGTGGTGGAATGGGGGACTACACAGAACTCCAGCAGGGGGAGATTGGGTGGGAGTTACAGGGAGTCCCTGAAATATGAGGGGATAGGAGGGTGGTACACAGGGAACACATGGAGTGGAATAGAGGGATGCAAGAAGCCCCTGGGATATGCAATAAGCTCAGCCAAAGAAGCTATGAAGTGTGCGGCCCTCTAGTGTATTACAAGAGCTCAAATTCTATTCAGGTGGCACCTTTTCAAAACTAGACCTGACCAGATATATACTGTAGAGAACAACAGGGGAAAGGAAAAGATGGTTTTTACTCTGTAACTGCTGTAATTCTAATTTAAATATTTTAATAACAAAGTTAGCTCATGAAGAATCTTACACACACACACACACACACACACAATGGGCTTTTCATCCTGCTAATGACAGTTGAATACAAAGGATCATTCTAATTTTTCTAAATGATTCACCAACAAATTAATCAAGTCACAAACCTCATTCATCTTTTCTTCAAACTCAGCCAATGCCCTCGATCCTTTCTTTTTCTTTTCTAGTTGTTCTTTCACTTCTTCCCTTTATATAAAAAATACAAAGGTTTTACACAGATATTTATACATCTAAAAAACCTGAACAGACATTAAGATTTTTTTTTAAATTTCCACTGAAATGCACAGTCAGTAATCCAAGTTGTTTCTTCAGTTTATCTTTAGCTGAATTTCCCATGAAAGGAGAAAGAGAGTTATCTTTGGATTATGTTAAACTTTAAGATATTATGTAAATTGTAAGTCCTGCAAATAAATTCCTGTGCAGGGTCTAGTCCTTACTTTGGTGATAGGTAATGTATGCTTGAATTTGATGTATTATAAGATAAAGTGGATTGAAGACAAGATAATTTCAGTAACTCATCTTAAGAGATGGTATAATTCTTAATAAGACAATTCTGCAAGGTGGAATTCAATTCTAAAAATGTATCCAGAAAAATTTCTTTCCATGTGTGATTCTGTTAAAATTACTAAAAAAAACTGGTGAGGGCACACCCACAATTCAGGCAATATTAGCCATGACAAAAAATAGAGATGTAAAGTTTTTCTATTCTTAGGCCTGGTCTACAGTACAAAGTTAGGTTGATGTAAGTCACCTTGCATCAAATTATATCAAGTGACTAAACTCAATTTGTCTCAGGTCGATGTAACACTATTACGGCGAGGCAATAACACCATGTCCCCAAACGGCATTGAGCCATGGTTGACCTACTGAGGTCAACAAAGAATGAGTGCATGACCTATATCAACCCTAACAGACCTCCAGCAGCTGACCAACAATGCCTGGCAGTGACCACTCTAATCACAATTGTGAACTCCTCTGCCCAGGGGTCTCAGAACCTAGAAGCCACATTCCTTTCTCTTTAAAACTCCCACATATTCCTAACTGCCCACTTTGGCGAGCACACCTAGCAGCTGTCCATTGTTGTGCGCAACTGGCCAACTAACCCTGCGGGCTCCATGCACTAGAAGCACGCCTGCCTGGAGTAGACAGGAGGTATTGGATCTCCTGGGCCTTTCCGGAAAAGAGTCTGTGCAGGCTCAGCGAGACCAGTTGTGAAAAGGTGGTTATCTATAAAAAGATTGCTTAGGGGACACAGGGTATGACAAGGATCAGCAGCAGTGCTGCATGAAAGCAAACGAACTGTGCCACCAGGCCAGGGAGCCCAACAATTGATCAGGTGCTGAGCTGCAAACTTGCCACTTTTACAATGAACCGCATGCCATAATTGGAAGACACCCCACCAGTACCCCGCAGACCACTATGGATAACTCTGAAGAGTTCAAGACACAGACCACTGCTGTGAACAGTGAGGAGGACAACGAAGGTGAGGACATGCAGACGGGGGGTTTCAGCTATGCTGTGAGGCAGGATCTTTTTGAGACCCCACCGCAGTCTAGCCAATCCCACCAGACAAGCATGGGTTAGCCCAATGAAGGGAAAGGAACCTCAGGCAAGAGTGCATTTGCATTTTCCCTCACAATGTTCAAATGTAAAGACGGTGCGCCCCACCCAAGACCAAATTAGCAGGACACAGGCATCACACTGTCTAGAGTGGATCACAACCGTGAGTGCCAACCTCAGAGCAGACTGTCAAGAAATAGGGCACGAACCCCAAACTTAGATTTCACCAACCAAGTAACAAGTGTGAACTCTTCAGGCACTATAACAGTCATAATAGGAAGCCACAGACAGTCCCCTTAGTTACTCTGATCTATCTTACCACCCAGACAAGCCTGCCTCTGTCATAAATGGTTCTTTAAATCAACAATCACTATAATATTCAGGTTACTTACAGTCCCAAAGGACCAGTCATTTACCCCCAGGTCAACTGTACTGAGATCTCAAACCAAAGACAATGATTTTAGCCTATCCTGTAACAAACTAAAGGTTTATAAACTAGGAAAAAGAAATGAGAGCGTTATTTACAAGGTTAAAGTAGGTAAACGTACACACACTAATGAGGTACAATCTTAAGTTCAAAAGGTAATGGAAGCTTCTATAATAAGCAAGCTTTTATGTCTTTTACGGCTAACTCAAGCCAAGCAGCTTGGGGACCTCCTGCTTATGTTTAGGAATCTTTGCCCCTCAGAATCCAGACAGCATAAAGATACCAATATCTCCTTAACATGCATTTTTTATTCCCTTCTCCCAGCATTCAGGCTGTGATGGAACAGGGGTTGTGCACATACCCGCTTCAGAGGTGTGGGAGAAGCGATCAACAAAGTCTTTTGTCCACAATGGCTTGTCTGATGTCTGTAGAGCTTCTTTTTTGGGGGAAGAAGATAACACCTCTTGTGATAAACTACCATTTCACACTTGGTAATGCGTCTCCCCTGCCTGTGGGGAATTTACAGTCTTTGGCTATGTCTACACTACTCAGCTTTTAGCAACATGGCTGTGTCGCTACAGCTGTGCCGCTAAAAGTCATGCAGTATAGCTGCTGTTTATCAGCTCTCCTGCCGACAATAAACTTCCACCCCCAACAAGTGGCATTTCCATTGTCGGCAGGAGCACTCTGTTCACACTAGTGCTTGTCGTGGCAAAACTTTTGTCTTTCAGGGTTTTTTTTTTTTTTTTAAACACCTCTGAAAGACAAAAGTTTTGTCGTTCAATTGCCAGTGTAGACATAGCATTAGCAAACATTTTTATAGCTACAGAGCAAACATTTAAACATTACTTTATAACATGGCATGTTATAAGTAGGATTAATACATGCAGCATCCTACAAGCATTCCATAAAGTCTAAACACATTCTTATAACTCTAATATCTATTTTAACAATACTAACACACAGGTGAGCCAGACTGGTTTCCTGCTATGTATCTGTCTATGTTGAGTGAGGCCTAGGGGCCTTGGCATGAGCTGGCACCTGGTCTGCTGGCATCACAACAGGTATCGACTTTTCATTGTTTTACTTGTTTGAGATGAGGCAATGGTACAACAAACAGAGGTAGAGTTGTCATCTGCATTTCATTCCCCTGTAGGGCTGGCAAGGAGCAGGCATGCGGACCAGTTTGTTTACGTACATAGGGATGTCTCTTGTAACCTCTTGAGAGATCTCATAGAGGCACACTGCAATCCTCTCCTGAAGGTGTCTAGAGATAGCAGCCTTATTTCTTCCTCCGTGGTAGGAGACTACCATGCCACTCTATTATGACTTTGGCAGGCACCATTGCACTAAACAGCCTATTGTTCATAGGAGATATCAGCTAAAGTCACCACTGCCTGTGGAAAATAGTGCCTGGTACTCGTACACATGGAAATAGGGCCCGAAATTTTATTGTTTCATGCAACCAGTGAGCCATACTCCCCATGGCTGGGGCTGCAGGGCGGTGCTGTGCAGACACTCCAAAACTGAACTTTTAATAAGCTAGTCTTATTTAAAACTTTTATAGGAATAAGGGAAGGGAGTTTTGAAACTTATTTTTTGCTTTCTGTTGTGACCGTAAATCCAACGATACATCAATCTGTTTTATCTGTAGCTGCTACCTCTATGGTGTTGAGTGGTCCCCTGCGGAATGCCTGACCATGATGAGGAGGATAAAAAGTGGACTAGAGAGGATATGTTCAGTGAGATCCTGCACGCCAGTGTTGCATTGGATTGTAAACAGAGGGCCTGGAGGGTAAATATTTCAGAAAGTATGGAGAAGGGCTCAGGTGTCCCCGCAGGAAAAGGAGAGGGAGATGCACTCAGGCAGCAAACACAAATGCTGAAGACTCTTGTTGACCTACAGGTCCAACAGTCACATACTCACGTCTCTTTGCAGTCGATGAAGAACACCAATTTAGCAACTTGCTACAGACGCCAACATTCCATGTGGCATCACGGCCTGCATCCCTACCACTCCATGCCAGGGGACAACCACAGCCTCACATGCACTGACATGGGAGAGTCACAGATGATGTATGTGAAGCGAAAGTGGACTGAAATGGACAGGAATGTTTTCTATCTTTCTAATTTTAAAGTTGGATTCCGTTAATTTATTTTAGACATTTTTATTGTATTTTTTTAATTACACTTTTTTTTGCACTGTTTTAGGTATGCAATAACTTTCTATTTTTTGGAAATGAATTTATCTTTATTACTTCACAACATATAGTGCAGAATGCCTAGCTCTACTCAAAGTACCAACTACGTGTAACTCTACAGCAGGGGTCGGCAACCTTTCAGAAGTGGTGTGACGAGTCTTCATTTATTCACTCTAATTTAAGGTTTCGCATGCCAGTAATACACGTTAAAATGCCCCCATGTGGCCCCCGGCTCCCCCCTCACCTAGGGTTACCATATTTCAACAATCAAAAGTGAGGACCGGGGGGCGGGCGGGCAGGGGGGAGGGATGCATGCGGGCGGTGGTCCCCATGCACCCCCCGGCTCCTCCCTCACCGTGCTCGGGCTCTGTGGCTCCCGGGAGTGTGAGCCGCCGCCCCCCACACACTTCCGAGAGCCGCAGAACCCGAGCACAGTGAGGGGGAAGCCGGGGAGTGCGCCTGCCGCCGGTCTGGGGTCCCGGCCGCTGGCCCCGCTCAGCCTCCTGCCGGCCTGGAGTTCCGTTCACTCAGCCGGCAGCGGGCTGAGCGGGGCCAGCGGCCGGGACCCTGGCTCACAGCTGCGTGCCTGGCAAAATCGGCTTGCGTGCCGCCTTTGGCACACGTGCCGTAGGTTGCCGACCCCTGCTCTGCAGGATGACAGAACTCACAGGTTCAGTGAAAAACAGTGTAATAAATTATAAATGTACAGCAAGCACCACATCATTCATAAGTTCATTAAAAGACAGCGCAATATTCATAAATGTACACTAGGCACTAACAATTCTTAACAGCAACTAAAACTTCAGGGTGAGGAAGAGCACAGCCCACACTACCACATCAAAGTTCTTTTTCAAGGGCTCCCTCAGCTGCATAGCTCCAGGCTGAGCTCATAGTTCTTGTGTCTGTCTGTTCAAACTCAGTACACAGACACTCCACCTGCTCCCTTCCATCCCAACAGCAACTTTTCCCCCTTTGCTTCACAGATATTATGCAGCATACAACAGACAGTTGTAACCACTGGGAATTTTTCTCACTGAGATCCAATCTCATAAGTAAATACTGGATGCTGGCAATCTAACAAAAGCACATTCAACTGTCATTCTGCACCTGCTGAGCTGGTAGCTGAATCTTTCCTGAGTGCTGTAAAGGTGGACAGCATATGGCTTCATGAGCCAAGGAAGCCAGGGGTAGGCAGGGTCCCCCAGAATCACTACTGGCATTTCAACATTGCCAATGATAATCTGCTGGTTGGGAAAGAAAGTCCCTGCTTGCAGCTTTCTGCAGTCCTGTGTTCTTAAAGTTGCGAGCATCATGGAGCTTCCACTCTGATATTGCTAAAGCCTCCTTGGTGATCCATCTACACTTGCATAATCAAAGAAAGGTATCCCTTTCTACTGATGCTCTCTGTAGCAACATGGGCCTATGCCAAAACAGGGAAACGGGTGCCCTCTATGGCCCCACTGCTGTTCAGGACCCATTTCTGAAAATCTATCCACTATGTCCTGCATGCTACCAGAGTCAGAGTCCTGCACAGCAAAAGACGATTAATGGCCCTATACACTTGCATAACAACAGCTGCCACTATGGATTTTACAATTCCAAAATGATTTCCCACTGACTGGTAACAATCTGGTGTTGCAAGCTTTCACACTGCAATTGCTACTCACATCTCAACTGTCAATGCAGCTCTCATTCTGGTGCCTATTCCCTGGGGGGATGGGGCAAGCTTGGCACACAGATCCAGGAATGTGGCCTTTTGCATTCAAGAGCTCTGCAGCCACTGCTCGTCATCCCAAAACTACATTTCAATGTGATCCCACCAGTCAGTGCTTGTTTCTCCAGCCCAGAAGCAGTGATCCACTGTCCCTAGCTGCTCTGTGAATGCCACCAATTAGCCCTGAATTGATTTTCACTATGTTTCTCATCAATCTATCCTCAAAGAAATCATCACATTGCAGACCCACAGGAAGAACTGCAAATAGTAGAGGACTGTAAGTCCGGTGTTCGCAACTTTCATGACAATAGTGCAGAACTCTGCGGGCTCCATGCATGTGTGACACTTGGTGGACAGTGAAAAGTGCTGTGCAGGTTTGTGTGATTTAAAAAAAAAAAGTTGTAAACTCCGGCAGGGGAGGGCGGCCAGAGCGCCGGGGGGAGGGCGGCGAGCCCGTTGCGGCTCCGCTCTCCCCGGCGGCCAGCCCGCCGCGGCTCCGCTCTCCCCGGCAGCCAGAGCGCCGGGGGGAGGGCGGCGAGCCCCGGCCGTGGCCCCGCTCTCCCCGGAGGCCGGAGCCGGAGCACCGCGCCGCCCCCCTCCAGGTGCCGCCCCAAGCACAAGCTTGGTGGGCTGGTGCCTGGAGCCGGCCCTGTTTACAGATGTTACACCACACTGCATCAACACAAGCAGGAGTAGTGAGTATTTGCAACGCTGATGCAAGCAGCCAAGTATGCATGTACACATGCAATATATTAACTCGGGTGACTTTCCACCAATGTATCTTGAGTTAAACAAAATTTGTAGTGTAGACATGGCCTGAGAAATTGTTGCTAAAAATGCCTACGGATCAATTTAATATATTCCTTTTCAGAAATGGTTGCTGAAATACCATCATCTTACACTGTAACAATTTAAAAAAATATTAAATTAGGACAGATATTTAGAAAAAATGCTTTGGCCAGATACTAGGAATCCCTTTATAAAATATCACGGTTTATGTTGGGAAGGAGGGCACTTAACAAGATAGTATCTTTCATCAAATAAGTGGTTTTGCAAAAGGAGCAATCAGATATTTCCACACTTACCATGTAGGCCTTGGTCTATTCAGGTAGTCCTGTATTGTTGGCCCTGCAGATTGGGAAGGACCTCGTGATCTGGCCATGGCTATAGGATTCATATAAGCCTTAGAGATGACAAAGCAAAGTGAGAAGTAAATTGAATTACTTTGCTGCAGAAACAAAAATCCACACATACAATTTTCCTTACCTATTGAAAACAATTCTGACTATGTTTCTTATAGATGGAAGGCATTTAGCCAGAGAAGATGATGATTCAAGCTGACAGGCAGACTCAACACGTTTCCAATTTAGAATTACATAATCTACTTAGCCACAAAAGGAACAAGGGCCTATCCAGTGGCCTAGTGATACTCAGCACTTCTTTTGTAAAGATTTGAGATTTCTGGATACGATGCTCTATTACAGTGCCATATATCCCTAGTCTCTTACTCTCTGGCACAGCAAAAGTAGTACATTCAGGCCTTAGACTCACTTTGGCCAAAAAAAAACTGATGGTGGCACACAACCAAGACTGTACAAATTAACGATAATATTACCACATAATAAAACTACTACATATTTGTTTTAAACTAAAAACCCTAATATATGTAAATAAACAAAACTTTGGTGAATTTAGCAGCATTTAAGTACTAAATCATATGTTTTAATCCCTAAAATATTCAAGTTAACAATAGATCAGTTATAATGGCTTTATTAATCAAGCTTTGTCATCTGTTCCTCCTTTTCAAGTCTGTGTATTCTCTTTTTCTGCACTTCAAAATGTGGTAAATTTTATAAATCCAAATATTTAAAAAATCCCCAGTTTACCTAAGCAAGGAAGTGATTCCCTAACAATTTTTAAAAATTTTGGTTCACGAATATACTAGAATCATATGGCCACACTAATGCTTGTGTGCATGTATCTTCCTTTCTCTAGACAGATCTGTGTATACAAACAGATATCATGTAAGCTATGTTAAAAAAAACATTAAGTTTGAAAAGTCAAGAGCACTCAGAAGTTAAAAAATGCCAGAATTAATGTTGTCTGTGAAACCCTAATTCAGTCAACTTAGGTGTACATTATGATACAGGCAGTAATTACATGAGCACATATTATTTCTTCCATAGGACACCTGCTTCATTCAGTGCACATGATGGACCGTGTTCATTTAGTGAGAGGCTATTCAAGGTTTTGTTTTCTCCTTATGTTCTGAAGATAGAATTATCAATTTCCTCATGGGCTTTTCCATGGCACTCATGACTATAGTATGCAACGGCTTTACAAAAATTAATTTATTTTCACAACACTCCTGTGAGATAAGGGGATATTATTATCCCCATTTTACAGATGGGGAATTGAGGCAGAGAAAGATTAAGGTCAAAAGTATCCATCCACTAATTTTGGGTGCCCAATTTGAGACACCTAGGACCTGATTTTTCAGAGTATTTTGAACATATAAAGTGCTATATAATTCTAAACACAGCTCCTATTGACTTCAGTAACAGTTGTGAGTGCTCACACTTCAACAGATCACACCACATGTCTCAGTCAGACACCCAGAAACTAAGAACAGAGTTAGTGGCTACCTGTGAAAAGTTCGGTTTAAGTGGCTTGCCTAGCATCACATATGATCTTTGTGGCAAATGCAGGGATTGAAGCCATTCTTTCTCTTCCTCTAATCATCTGCCTCAACAGCTGTACATCTTCAAATTCGACAACAACCAAGCAGGGGTCCTACAGATAACAGGCCCTTTCACTATATAACCCTATTCATTCCCAGAGCAGGTCCATCTATGCACTCAATCAGGCAGGGGTCCTGTGGAAAAAATAGTATGTGATCATGTGATGAAAGACTGTATTGTAATACATATGCAGACAGTGGCCAAATTAAGGTTGTGTAGGGAATTTCCTAACTTTTGGGTACTTGAGTTTGCAAACTCAATAATGATTTAAGAGTCTAATTTCCCAGATTTTTTTTTTAAAAGAGCAAACAAACAAAAAACCATAGACATTCTATATCATGTGGCATCATACTGAAACCCACATGGTTCACCAGCAGGGTTGGACCCTTTAGATCCTCTGCCACTTGAGCTAATTGAGTAAACAGCAGCAGTAAATAAATAGTAAGTTGTCATGCTTTATGTAGACCAGTACTAGAAGATGAGACGACATTTTGACAGCAATTTACACAGATATTTGCTAAATGCAGAGGAATGGTGAGACTCAGGAATCTTGGGTTTCATTCTAGGCTCTGGAAGAGAATAGTCTCTAATGTAGAGAGTTCTTAACCTTTTTTCTGAGGCCCCTCCAACATGCTATAAAAACTCCTTGGCCCACCTGTGCCATAGCAACTATTTTTCTGCATTTAAAAGCCAGGTCCAGCATTAGGGCAACTGCCCAGAGCCCGACACCACCCATGGCAGGGCTCAGGTTTTGGCTTTCTGCCCTGGACCCCAGTGAGTCAAATGCCATCCCTGCTTGGCAGATTCCTTGAAAGCTGCTTGTGACTCCCCAGGGGCCACAGACCTCCTGGTTGAGAGCCATTACTCTAGTGCGCACAGAGTCTTCTGTACTTTTTCCCCCAAGCATGATGCCTTCTGCCCCTTTCCCTCCAACCTGTCCTCGTGCCAATATGAACTAGGGTGGCGATTTCTGTTATTTCATTTCTACTGTACCAGTGGCATGCATGGTGCTTTATGCAAAAAAGAGAAAGCCCTTGCCTTAGGCCTTGTCTACAGTAGAAAGGTTTGTCAATATAGCTATACCAGCAAATACTCCTACTGTAGATGTAGTTTACACTGGCAAAACAGTTCTTTTCTGTTACAGCTTATACTAGATTTTTTTTTTACTCAAGGAACTATATCAGCAAAAGCACACAACAAAAGCCAATAAAACTGCATTTGCACCAGGGCTTTTGCCAGCATAAAAATGTTGTAGGAAAATTACATTCTTAACTGACAAAAGTTTTGTAAACCTGGCCTTACAGTCCAAGGCCTGAATACTATCAATTTCTCTTTGCATGGAGACCACTATGCTCACAGGGAGCCCCACTAAAGTCACTGAAAGGATTTGTCTGCTGGGAACAGCTTGCAGGATCACAGCCTAAATTTGAAATACAGGCAAAGAAGGGGGAAAGGCTGAAACAAAATAATGTGATTTGGTTTATTTTTATCACACAACTTGTTAGTTGCAAAATTTTTATTTTAATAAGCTTAAATTAAATATGAACATGTGGCCAAGCATAAAAGTATTTGTAGATGGTTAGTGGTGGATGGCTAGTTGAAAAGAGAAAGTTTTAAGGAAGGACCTAAAGGACAGGAAGGTTGACAACCTAAAATTAAAGTCTGATCCTACAATCAGATTGATCACATGTGAGGAAGTCAACCCTTGTTTTGGGGAACAACCTACTGAAGTCAACAGAGCCTCTGTGTAGAGACAAGGAACTGTGCAGAGAGAAGGACCCATATGTATCCAATACTTTAGGCCAGAGGCCTTGTTTTTTGTTGTTGTTCCATAAATCAGCTTAGCTCACCCAATAATAAAATAATATTGGTAGGAAAATGTCTTTGCAAGGAACTGGCCAGCACCCTAACTTTTTTCATGACAGAACACGAAACAGATATCAGACAGAAACTACATATAGTCATTAGTGATTTGTGCTAGATTTGACTGGGAGATGAAAGGTTCTATCATATATGACACAAGTAAATTCCTTGGGTTCTCTGGCTGCCCAGTTTTGCAAGAATACATGATGCACAATATAGGTCTTTTACTCTGCTGGGAAACATGCCAGCCCATGTGAATGGTACCGAATGCCTTACCCAAGAATCCCATACTGCTGATAGACGTTTTTAGCAGGACAATTATATTGCAATTAACACCATCATCATAGGTTCCAGTTTACAGAGAGAGTCAAGGCTTTCATGCTGACAGGAACTGCCATTGTGATATATGACGACACTGATATTGTGCTGATATTGGGGGCTGCCCCCCAGCTTGGGATCCCCGGACAGTAATTTTATAAATATGCTTTAGACCGTTCAGCAACACGAGCCCCTCCTGGTCTAACCCTTGTGCAGACCTACGGAGGCGCCCGGGGGGAGAGGGGGGTGCCCCTGCACAGTCCCACGCCCGGGGATACGGGGAGTGGGATGGGGCGCCTGGAGCGGACCAGAGCAGGACTCACCGAGGCCCCCTCCCGCGGCTGAGGCGCTGCTGGCCGGGCCGGGCCGAGCGCTACACTCCGGTCTCGCCAGGCCGGGCCAGGCCCGGGCTGAGGCGCGGGACGCAGCAGCGCTTCCCCGGGCGGCCTCCCCTCGGCCCTACCAGGCCGAGCCCGCGCCCCGCGTCACTCACCACCCGGTTATCCCGCTTCCCCATGGCGCCGCCGCACGGACGCCTCGGCTCCGCCGCGCGCTCCCGGCCGGGAACTCGAGAGCAGGAGGCGGCGAGGCCCAGCTCGGTTCCTCTTCCCGCAGCCCAAGCGGCGGGCGCACGGCGCCACCTGCAGGGCGCGCAGCGCTAGCGCCCCGCCATCCGCGCCCGGCCCCAGTCAGCTGGGCTCCGCCCTGCGGCTGGGCCTGGCGCCCATGCCCAGGGGCGTTACGAGCCCCGAGCCCCCCAGCCAGCCCGTTGTTAGGGGCACAATGCTGCGGGTCCCCCCCTGCCTTTCGAGTCGGCCAGGACCCTTGTCCGACGAGCGGGCGGCACGCTGAGGGAAAAGCCACCGAGGCCGAGAAGGCCATTGCAGAGCCGTTGACCCCCGCCCCTGCTGCAGTTCAGGCCACAGCTAGGATTGGGACAGGAGTTAATCCACCCACCCCTGCCAGCCCAGGTAATGAAGGGGAAGTACTGCCAGGGAGCGAGGGGCCAAAAGAGGACGTGCAGGCACAAAGTGATCATTTAAATTCAGGGAAGAGCAACAAGTTGGGGCCTGGAGAGTATACATCCAGTTCAGAAAGAAGCTAAGGCCTTGGCTACCCTTGCGCATTATAGGGCAATAAAGCCACCTAGGATTTACCTTAGCCTACTACTATGTGTTAAAATATAAACTGCCTTGTCTTCACTGTGATTTTACCATGGGTATTAGATAACCCGTGATAAGAACACTCTCTCCCCTCCCGCCATCCGCCTCCCAATGAAGAGAAGGCCTAAGAGGCAGAAAACTGAGATTAGGAAAAAATGGTCAATTTTTAACATAATGTTCCCAAATTTCCTTACTAGGATTGGTGGTGTTGAACATGCTTATCAGTAGCTGAGAAAGGAAGTGAAGAGTTTCAGAAGTGAAGAGTGAGATAGCAACACTGTAGAAATTACAAAATTATTAAATTTTGACAAGACGAGAGAAGATTGTGAAGAACTTCAGCGAGCTCTAATAAAGGCAGGTGAATACACACCACAATGGCAAATGAAATTCATTATTGAGAAATGCAAGGTGCTGTGCACTGGAAGGAAAAAATTTAACTACTTCTACACATTGTTGTGTTCTAAATTAACCATCATCATTTTAGAAAAAGACTTGGACACCATTCTGGGTGTCTCAAAACCTCTGCTCAACGTACAGCAGAGTGTTAAAAAACCAAAAACAAACAATATTAGGATATATAGAGAATGGGATGGAGAATAATACAGAAAATATGTCTTTATATGGAAAAATTATATGCCCTTACCTGGAATACTTTGTTCAGATCTGGTCACTCTCTCTCAGTGATTCTCAAACTTTTTTTTTCCACGGACCACTTGAAAATTGCTGAGGGTCTCGGTGGACCACTTAATGATCTTTCCAAATGTTGTTTGTACCCTTAGCTAACTATTGTAAAAAACTGCAATAATAAATAAAGTTTTTTGTTCTACAAATAAAAGCATACAACTCATATTTTAATATCAGTAGTCTTACCTTCCTAATGCGATGGATGTGCCCTCCCTCCCCGGCTGGGAGGGAGGAGGGTCTCCTTCGCTCGGCAGCTCCCGAGCTGGAGCTGGGAAGGAGGCGGGTCTCTCCCTCTCTCCCCCACTGTGGCAGCTCCCAAGCTGGGGCTGGGAAGGAAGGGGGTCTCTTCCCCACCACAGCAGCCACAGAGCTGAGGCTGGGAAGGATGGCTGTCTCTTCCTGACAGCTGCAGTCCTGCAGCTGGGGAAAGTCGCCTTTCTCTGGCCACTGCAGCCCTGCATGTCCCAAATTCCCCCCTTTTCTCATCCCACTCCCACCTACCACCTATTCCCCCCAAGGCAACCACCTCACCTTACGTGTGCGTCTTCTCCAGGGTCCAGGCACCTAATTAGTGGAGCCACGCCTGCGCGGCTCCACTGATTAGGTGTGTGGCCGCCCAGGTGCACAGCTTAGAGGGAACTATCCGTGAACCACCTTAATGGAGCTCACGGACCACAGTTTGAGAACCTCTGCTCTATATTAATCAGGTTATAACAGAAATTAAGGGCACTCAGCAATGGATGATGAAAATGATTACAGGAAAGACTTCCATGAAAAGAGATGGAAAAATTTGGATTGTTTAAGAGAAGAGAGAAAAAAAGATGGGATATGATGGAAGGATGTAAAATAATGAACAGCATAGAGAAACCCTCATGCTGCAGGGCATAAGTAAGCCCCTAACTGATGAGGGTTAGGAAGAAACTTCCTCTATAAAAATGTTATTCCATAATTGTCCATGATGGGGTTTCTTGAACCTTCTTTTGCAGCATCTGGTACTGGCCAATGTAAGAGATAGGACCACAAGACAGACCACTAGTCTGATCCAGTAGGGCAATTCTGATATTCCTACATTCTACCTACCAAAAATTTCCCCTTCAGTTTCACTTGGCTACACTATTCTTACTTAATTCTTGCCCTAAATTGTTATGTAATTTTGCTGTTCTGCTAAAAGAGCTACTGTGTGCCACTCCACAAATGGCTGCGTTTCAATAGGATGCAAAATTATTCCTGCGTAAAAGGCTGTGATATGGCTTTACCTTGGATTTTTTGTGTGAGGATCAGGTCATAGTTCGTAAAAACCTTCCTTTTTTGAGATGGGGCGGGCTATTGAGAAGGTTGTGCCAAAGCAGCTCTAGTATTAGCAAGAGTTCTCAGATTTTCTTGACCCTTTCAGTTCGATTTTAGACTTGAGCATAAGTCAGACTGCATTGGTCTTGGTCAGTGCTTTCCTTCTGACTATGGACATAGACCAGCCACACTGACTCTTTTTGCCTTTCGAACCATTGGCCATGAAGTATTGCTGAAGTAATTGCAGACCTTACTACTGATGGATTGGCTCTATTTCTTTTTTTCTTAGTGGGCGCAGAGAGTGCTGATGGGCAATTATTCAGTTGCTCCCAGGGTTCTCTTATGTGGCATGCTGTCTTGTCACTCTGTTCTGTATGGGAGGCTGCTGGGGCGATCAATGGGAATTAGGTGAAATTAAATGAAAATCCATGGGAGTTATGTGCCTAGACTTTTTTGTATATCGCACTAGGTGCCTATCTACATCTTTAGGTGCTTGAGTACCTTTGTAAATCTGGCCCTTAGTTTCTTTGTGTCTCATTTCCACAGCTGTATCTCTATCTCACAGGGGAGTAAGCAGGATAAATGCATTAATGACTGTGAGATGCTCATATACTGTGGTGATGAGAACCTAAACTAGATAGTGAACCCAGGCAGTAATATATTTCAGTGTCTGGCTGAGATTGTGCTGAGGAATAGTTGGTTGAGGTTTGATCTGCTTAAGGCAGGAATGATGCTGGTTAGCCAGGGAAAACAACCAGAGGAGGTGACATCAGCTACTTCAGCCAAGGTTTTTTTGTTGTTGATAAGGTTTGCAGCATGGTTATCAGACCTTCAGCTGATTCTCAGATAACATCAGTAACCAACATTCCTTTTTTTCATCTCTGTTTGGTGAGGTGGTTGTGACTGTTCCTTTCAGATATGGCCCTCGCCAAAGTTATGCATGCCTTTGTAATCTTCAGGATGAACTAATGCAACATGCTCTACTTGGAGTATGCTTATAAACCACTTGGAAAGTCAGCTAGCGAAGGATGTGCCTGCTGTTTTAATTAATGGTATGTCATGTATGGAGGTTATTATATCTGTGCTTTGTAGACTTCAATGGGTCCCTGCTGATTTCTGGGTGCAATACAAGATTTTTGATCTGGAAAGCCTTGTGGTCCTGGTTATCTAAGTGACCACCTCTGATTTAGTGCTCTAACGCAGAAGTTGAGATTTGCTGGGATGCTTGAGCTAACACTTTCTAGATATATAGGTGTGGTAATATATATAGATATATAGTTTCAGGGCCTCTCAGTTGATTCTGGAATTTGCTTCTACTCCTGCTCAAAAGAGCCTGTATTTATTTATTTACATTAGGGCAAGCTAAAAACTCTCTCTCTCTCTCTCTCTCTCTCTCTCTACTATAG